CGGTCTCCTCGCCGCGGGGCAAAGAAGCGCCGGCTCCGAATTCGCCTCTGCTGTCGACGACGTCGACGTACCCGCGTCTCGGAGTGACGCCGACAGGCGGTAGCGGCGCCAACAGCGCTCTGACAACACCGTCGCCACCGTTGACCCCGGGTTCCAGCCAGCTACCGCCTTCCTCTTATCCGCCCCCCATGAACCAGATTCATCACGGCGAGTATGGTTTCGCTTGGAGTTCAGCGTCGCCGGGCTCGGTGAACCCGAGTCAATGTTACGCCGGGCAGACCTACAACGCCTACCAGAACCCGTACACCAACGGCGATTATTATCAAACCCAGATCTCGCACATGCACCACAGCCCTCAAGGAAATTATCATCACCCGCAGTATCATCACAACATGACGCTAACCTCCTCGATGTCGCACTTGACCAGCCATCACCTGAATCCAACAGGTACCAACGACATGGCTGCCTCGCCATCCGACTCCGACGGCTACATACTGCCCGATCAAAAATACCAGGCGATGGTATAGCGGTCCACCAGATCCTCCGGAATGTTCCAGCGTGGCCAAGAGAGCACTGCCGCGGCTAGTTCTTCCGCGGTCTACAACTGGCGTCTCTCCTCGGCGCCATCTTGCCCCGAGATAAACGGTAGTATCGACTCCGACGACAATTGAGGCGCTTTTCGACACTCTCGAGTTTGCACGCCTTACGCCTAGTATCGGTTCTTTCACCGAATGCCGCGAGGATTCAAGGATTCTCCGTGGTTCGAGATACGAAATATGGACGCGAGTCGCGTACCGTTCCGCTTCGAGAAAGCGTGAACTCTGTTCTGTGCGCGACACGGACGGATACGTTATTATATTGTGCGCATCGTTTCGCGGAATGTTCGCGATTTAACGTTCCTTACCGTGGAACATCGATTCCCGTTGAAACGTTCAAATCGCCAACTATTTCGCGTCGCGGGGATAGCCGACGCGAGAACGCGTCGCGAATAAAGAACGTTTAGGAGATTGATGAACGGTTTCTTCCTTATTCGCGGCACGTTTCTCCCGTTCGTCTTGATCGCGTTTGCGCGGCGAGCTCTGAAAACATTGTAAATACGAACAACGAGTGTGTCTAGCGAGAATCAATGATCGGAATAAATTGTAAAAACATATCGCGTCTCGCGTTTAGTTTCGGGTCATTCGTCGACCAGCGATCGAATCCGAAATCGTTCAGCGTTTTATCATTCTCGTTTCTTTTTCTTTCGAATTGACGCGCGGCAAGTCTTTCTCGTACTTTCGTATCGTTCAGTCTTCGCTTCCGTTCGATCCGCGATCGTTTCGTGATTTTCGATCGGTTCTTTCCCGAGAGCATCGAGCAAAAGATAACCGTCCGGAGATAGCCGTCGTTGCGAAAGAGCGCGTCGCGATCGATCGCGTACAGCTACCGCCGTGACCGACTTCCTGTTCCAGATATCGCTTCGATCGAACCGAACAAACAATCGACGGAAAAGAAAGAGCGTAGTATTTGTCCGAAACGACGAGGATGAACCGCGAGAGCGCATCGTTTCCTTCTGCTTTATCGTTATTCCTTGTTTGTCGGTGGTCGAGGAATTTTCGTTCCGACGAACGGAGAGTCTCGTCGACGCGATACGAGGATCGAAACGGAAAGTACGTTTCCGGTCCGTCGCGAGAACCCCCGAGTAATTATCTCTTTTCGACGTTTCACTTCGAATTCCTTTCAAGCGGATCACTGCCGTTATTATTCTTAATATTATCGTTACAATCTTTATTCTTACGATTAACACTGTAATTGATAATCATTCATATCAAGTACGGCCAGTAGCCGGACATTCGTGTACATAGCGAAAGCGGAAAGCGTGTTTTTGCGAATGCGTGAGAACGAAATGATTCACGATTTTGCGGTAAATTCTTAACGAAAAAACGTTCCGTGTTCCACGATTATTCTTTTCTTTCTTCCTTCCTCCTTTTCTTTCTTTCGTTCTATCGTGGACAGGGCATATCGAGCTTTCCTCGCGTCCCGACATAATCCGCTGCCAAAATAATAATAATTCGGCACCAGCTTTCGAACGAAACCAGTTTCGCTATCTTAATACGAGTGTTGGAGAAAGCGAGTGAAAAAGGAAAACAGCGTGTCAAAGGACGTCATACGTAATCGTGAGTGTATATTTCGTGTATACAACCCTATTGTATATTATTGTGGATTAGAGAATAAACGCAAGTTCAAGATATCAGTAACGTAAAAGAATAGCAGATGATCGTGTAAACCATAAATGATTATTGTGCGCACATAGACATTAAGCTACTTTGTAATAATATGACGCAAAAAATGTACATAATTATCATAACTTGTAAGATACACGATTGGATTCTATCGCGTGAGAAGAAAATCTTCCTACGTCAAAAATAAAGCATCGCATATTATTAATAATCCAATTTGTTCATTTATTTTTGTTCGATGATCCGAGATACATAGACGGGAACAATTAATTTCCGGCGTAATTTTCTAGCGTAATTAACGCGAACGTTCGATGCATCTAATAATTCGTGTACACGATACGTATAGGTCTCGTGTCTTATGTCGCTTCGATGAAAGATAACCAGGCTTATAAATCGTAGCCTGCCATTAAATCACATTGATGTTCGCAAGATCACACCGCCGCGGGCTGTAATTTTGCTAATGCACTCGAAATTAATTAACATTAAAGCGTCCCATTATACGAGGGCGGTCTCGCGTATCGATCGCGAACCGTTAAAAGCCATATTAATTACAGACTCGTGGTCACCGTAATCGCTGGCTGCAATTTGCGTACGCGCCTTCCTTGCCTGACGTTATCCTGTTTTCCGGGAAATTAAAAAACATTTCACCAGCGACGCGAACGAATTATTTACATCGCGAATGCTTTCTTTCTTTACCAATAATTGCGCGACCGAACTTACGGGTTTTGCAAGGAGACTACCGTTTTTTAATCGCGGAGTCTTCGATGTCTTCGTTCTTCCTACGTTTCCTTCGTGTCTGCTCCGCTGCACTACCACCATAGTTCCTCTCTAACCGCTCGTCGTTATCTCGAACTTTATGCTTCCCATCAGGACGCGTAATTAGTAATTAGCGAACGCACGCGTTTCTCCGCAGCACCGTTTGTTATAGCAAAGCGTTCCCTTTGATACGATCGAGTCGAGCACAGAAGGGGGAGATGTTAGACAGATAGAGGACCATCGACTTTCACGACGGTCCATTAGATGATCTATACACAGGTGCACAAGGACATACGAGTGCGTTGGAGCAAATTGGTTGTTGATAGAGAAGGGTAATGCTGGTGATGGTGGTGGTGGCGGTGGAGGTAACGGCGTATCTCTCTAAATAGCCTAAACTCGAGGGGCAAAGAACCCCGTGCAGCAGTGGAAGGCAGCACCGGGCCAGCTTGTGCTTGGCTAATTGGACAGATCAGGTACCTGTCTACCTTTTGACGGCGTAATCCGGCATCCTTTCTAACTCATCAAATTAACGGGCTATAACAAATCGGTCGGGGCCAACCTAAGTACCTCCACGGGTCCTTTGATGACCCTTTTCGTATAATCGCTACGCAAATCCTTCTCGCGACGTTCTCTCTTTGAAAGAAGATCCCGTCGCGTCGATTCACGACCGATGCGTGTACCGTACAAGAATTACCTGTAAACATCGACTCGAATTCACCGAGAGTTTCGTTGAGCCTCTTAACGACCACGGGATGGTACAGCCGGGAAGTAAATCGCAAATAATACCGTCGATAAAACTATCCTTTATTTTCGCTGATTTATCGAGTCCATACCGAACCTAGCGCTTAGAAGAAGGAATGATCAGATTTTCAGGAAAATTGTTTCGCGGAGTTATCGACTGTAAACGCGATAATTCAACGCGAAAGAAAGTTCGCTTCGCGTAGTTTCGGATAAAGGAGATAAAGACGCGTATAATACAGTTTATTTTCGGTTCGAGTTACATTAACTAATGCTGAAAGGTTTTTGTCCTCGGAAGCGATACGATTAGATCCGATTGAAAAAAAGCAAGTTAAGAGCGAATTAAGCTTTAAAGCGGAGTCGGTTTGGCGTGTTTAATTTTTTGGGGGCGAAGAGAAAAGACGCGAGAAGGAGGAAAAGAAGAAGACGGTAGGAGTGAAGGTTGGAAACAAGGGGTTACCGCGAATAACGAAAGATCCTCGTGGGCAAGGTTGGTTTAGTTCCTCGAGATATCCCGGCGACATTTTAGACGGGTTTGCGAGTGTCAACCGTTCACTTTCATCGTGGCGAAGACAATGGCCTTGAACTTGGCCGAGTGCTGCGGCGAAGAGTTAAAATCGGCTTGCGTTTAGCCGGATCCCATTATAACAACTCGGAGCCGGTCGTAAGCTTCGTGGCTTGGTTCCGCTCACTGTGTCACCGGGCTAAGCCCCGACTTACCTACCTATCCTTGCGAACCTCTCGCTCTCTTACCCCTTTTCCTACCGTCCCCCTCTCTATGCCGGTTTAATACTCGCATTATGTCTTACCGATTCGACGCACCTACCAAAAATTCGCTCGAAAATCGCTGCACGAAAACGTTTCCGAATACCGTAGCTTCTCGCGATCTTCCTTCCGATCGCTCGTCATTGCGATTTTTTTTTCATCGCGCACCGAACGATCGAACATTAGACCGGTGTTCGTTAAAGTTTCTGTTACGAATAACTTATGACGCGGATAGTAAGTTGATTTATGCATACAGGAACGAAAGACGGAAGTATCGGAGAGTCGATATAGCCTCGCGAGGAGGATGAAATTTTCACGCAATCTCGTCGATTCGCCTGTACGGAATGCCTGGAAGGGAATTCTTTCTCGATTGGCAATATCCGTAACGAGAGAGAATGGCGAAAGGGGCGGTCGGACGATCGAAAGAATGGAAAGACGAGGGAGTGGATGGAGAAGAGGAACCATAGGCGGGGTGGGGAAGGATCGGACTGGGATCAAAGAAGCGCTTGCCTAACTAGATTTCCCGTTCCCACTTTGAGGATTGCTTAATGCTCTATAAGCGGCCGTTTTAAACTCGATGAAATCGAATCAGTGACGAATCGAGATCGCGCCACGCTGCAAATTCAATTGGAGACAGTTCCGCTGGTTGCTTCGCGTTCCGACTTCCACGCGCTTTGATCTTTTTCGACGCGTTCGAATCGACCGGACCGCGAGACGTACTTTAGTCGACGCAGCTATCGTTTTAATTAACGCCGATGCTGACGCCAGTCGCGACACACTTTATTTGCATATGTCCCCCGTTGGGCTCGCTCCTCGACATTCGATCAACGTGTTTATTTCTTTCCTCGATTTATCCTCGCGTCTTCGAATCTTTCCTCTTTTTCGATCGTTTTTCCTTTTATTCTTCGAGGGACGTTAAGCAACGCATCTGTTTTGATTTCGACGAAACTTCGATTTAACGCGGCATTCGAAAACGTATTTGTTTGCTTGGAAATTGAAATCTCAACAATTATGTCTGAAAGTCTTCGCGAAGATCACGAGTCACGCGACAAATGCATCTGAAAAGAGATAGACTAATTACGATAATTAAGTATATCTGTACTCGCAATGACTTTGTTTCTACGACAAGAATAATAAGTGTACTTATACCGAATTAATCTCGTAACATATCCTTTATGGTGCACAATATATACAGGAACATAATTTCAGAAGTAAATTGAATTATTACGACGAGGCGAGCGGATAGCGGATAGGGGGTTAAAAGCGAATCGGCCGAAGATCGAGAAACGCTCTGGGGTCTTCCGCTACGATTCGTTCGAATGCGATCCTCGATTCGTATGGTCGATGAATCGGCAAAAATAGGAAGTCGATCGCGCAACAAAGTCGAGACGGGTGGATCTTTCTTAAGGTCGGCTCGTTCGACCCAATTACGATCGGCGATCAGGCAGAGGGATCAGAAGCTCCGGCAGGAAGTCAAGGGGCGCGAACGCATTGTTAAGCTCCCTCTGTCCAAACATTCGGCTTGGCTCACGAGTAACCAACACACCTATTTTCCCTCGTCTATTCGTCTCTCTCTTTATCTCGTTTCTCTGCGAGCGGCCCTTTCTCTCGTTCCCCGATCGTGCCACCCTCGGTAGCCTGCGCGAGAAGCGTCCACAGGTAATCCTAAAAAATGGACCGTCGGTTTCCGCCGCCATAGGCTATACACGGCACACGGCCGGAGATTCCTTCGTCGCTTTTTCACGCACACGGACCGACAGGTCAGACCGTAGCAACTTCCTAGTCGAGAAAAAGTACCAACGAGACGAACTTTCGATATCGAATCGGACGGCAACCATCCTTCCAGTTGAAAGGAACGCTAACGCGAGTTGCTAATTGATCTCGCGTCATAAATCCTCCAAATTATCCCTTTACGAATTCGAGGGAGGATAGCTACTGGTCTTTCGACGATCGTAATTAACCCTTTCGCTGCAGGAGATACCGAAATAAAACGTGCTTATCAGTGTCTGTTTCGACTTTTCAATTCGTCGCATATATCGTGCAGGATGAACCACAAATTATTGCGCGTTAATATGCACGATACGAAGCGAAGCGTAAGTTGAGTCGTAATCAAAGGGCTGTACGTTTTCGTTTGGAGAAAAGTACTTTTAAAGATCGCAAAGTCGAACAAGATATTCGCGTTGCGTCGCCGTCGACGAAATATCGCTGGCAAAGGTACTTCACCCTTCGGCTAGAGAGCATTTCTCATTTTGAAGAACCCGAGGGCAGTTCTCGGTAGCGAGCAGAAAAGACCGTGTACGCGTAACGCGGTCGCGCGGGAGAATAGAGACGAAAGAAAATAAAAACCGAAGGAGTCTTTGGAGGAGGAAGCGAACGAGAGACGGAGAAAAGAAGGAAAAGATCAAAGATGGAGTAAGAGAGAAGACAACTCCTCTCGGGCAAAGGATCTTGCCGTGTACGAGAAGAGAGAGCCGGGAGAGAGGGTCCTATAAATAATTAGCGAGGAGTCGCTCTCCGCTCGGCGGGCGTAAGCCGCTTACAACCCCCGTTCGCTCTGCTCCTCGCCGAGCATCCACTATTCCCTGTAGCCCTTTGCTCGCTCTCGCTTAGGCTACCTTCCCTCGCCTCGATTCTCCACCGCCCGATTGCTCGCGACCACCACCCTCTTCCTCCTTCGCCTCTTGCTTCTTCTCTCGGTGCTCTCTCGGTGCTCTTTCGGTGCTCTTTCGGTGCTCTCTCGGTTTCTCTCCGCAAACGACGAGATTCCGGCCAGCGTTCGTTCTCGCGACGCGATGCAACCCTTCGTCCGGACCTATCTTATTACAATCTACGTTGACTACGCTCTGTCTCGCAACGTGGCTACGATATCATGAAAAATAGCAACAGTTCCCGAATGTCCACCGTCTAAACATTTTCGACGGTGTAATTCGAAACGGTGTCGGGTCGATCGGT